CAGAGCATCTGGTGGATTCAAACCGTGTGCCTCTGGGATTGTAGTTGCAGCTCCTTGCCACTAGGCCACCAGAGCTCCCCTATAAGTGTTTATTTTTAAAGGAAGGAATAAAAGTCTATGGGGAAAAAATATTGCCCTTGTCAATTTCTTGACATACTTTTGCCCTGTAATAAAATCATAACAGGTGATAGTAACACTGTTTTAATTATTGTAGGGTACTCCTTTTGGACAGAAGTCACATTTCTTCCTCTAGTACAAAATCATAAGCAGCCAGAGGTCTTATTTGTCCAATTTAGAAGGACTTTCTAATCCAGAAGTCGAAGAATGTGGAATGGATTACACTCAAATTAAGAAGAAAGAACCTCTTATTTATTGTGAAGTCAGCCTGTATCTCTTAGATCCTCCTTCTTGTAGTCTCCATGAAAAAAGTAATGCCAATATGAAATTATAGCCTAGAAATTCAATATATATAATTTTCATTAGACAAAAATATTCATCTTTTTTCCCCTCAGTCAAGCATATTTTCTCATTTCTTTACCAATACTTGTCCCAAAATGGTTTATGACAACCCAGGTATTGTGTCTGGATAAGTAAGCAATCTCTTCAGAGGTAATAACCGAATATGCTCCACACCATCGAGTTTCATCATCCTCATCTTTAAGGGGCACCGTGGCAACACTTTATCCAAGACAGATTTGTTTGCTTTTTAGGTAGTCTATGTGATAGTCACTATCCTCCTCCAACTCTACAATTCAAAGGCTTCAATTCTGTCATCCTAAGTCATTGCTGATGTTTCAAATGCATAGAAAGCAATTGAAAATACAATGACTCGGATCTTGTGCACCTTAGTTTGTTATTTGTTTTTTTTAACTTTAAATTATTACATATATTAAGGGAAGACAAACTCATAAATTATACCCTCAAAAGAATAAGGTCACATTCTCTTAGTAATTAATTTAAAAATCCTTAAATTAAAGAAGAATTAATCTTAATCCAGCAGTGTATAATTTAGGATTATATCCTTATCAAAATAAAGTCTCTCTTTTTCAATTTACCTGTCTAATCCTGCATTCTGAAGCCAAAAAAAAGAAACTCTTCCTAAAAATATGGAACGCTTCACGAATTTGCGTGTCACCCTTGCGCAGGGGCCATGCTAATCTTCTCTGTATCGTTCCAATTTTAGTGTATGTGCTGCTGAAGCGAGCACTGCACCTTAGTTTTTAAACAGATGTTATTGCTCTTTAGTAGTCTGGAGAGGTCCTGGAGAGTAGATTTGCTCAATGCAACATGTCTTTTGATTTCTTGACTACTGTCATTGTGGGTGTTGACTGTGGATCCAAGTAAAATCAAATCATTGATAACTTCAATTGATAACTTTTATCCATCTATTTATGGTGTTGCCTATTGGTCCAGTTGTAAGGATTTTTGTTCTTTTGCTGTTGAGGTGTAATCCATATTGAAAGCTGTTGTCTTTGATTTTCTGCAGGAAGTACTTCAAGTCGTCTTCACTTGCTGCAAGCAAGGTTGTATCATCTGCATAATGCACGCTGTTTCTGAGTCTTCCTCCAATCCTGATGACACATTTTCCCCCCCATATAGTCCAGTTTTTGGAATTACTTTGGAATTACTCTTGCTCAGATATAATAAGTATGGGTAAAGAATACAACC